TAGTAGTAAGGCCAGGAGCCCCTAGTAGCGAACCTTGCTCCTAGTAGCGATGCCTTTTGCTTCTAGCAGCTTCTTGTTGGGATGATACCAACAGAGACCTTCCCTTCGGACCTTGGACGAGCTGACTAGTCAACACTGGCATGGCTTTCGGTGGCGGGCTCTGACATGAAGCTCCGGTAGCATGCTTTCCAGTCTGGTTGATAGTGATAGAACCTCAAGGAGCCCCTTTTTCGGATGCGAACTCTGCCGGATGCGACGTTGGCCCAACGAACAACGGCCCACGGCTAACTCGCAGGTGAAACGGGTCGCCTCGCGTGATCGCGCGATCTGGTCTACATAAAGGCTAGATGGCCCTCATCCCTCATGCAGCCGAACCAACACATGCGTGAGAATCGAAATTCTCAAGGGAATTGAGGGCCACAACTAGGATTTCTAGCAGGTTCTAGCAGGTTCTGGTTCTGGCAGGCAGCTTTCTTGGACCTTTCTCAGCGCAAAATCCTAGAGAGTCAAAGGACCTGGAGGCAAGGAACGCAAGAAAACCGGCCCACATCAGCGAGATCCAAGCACTTACCTCCACGAGTTTCACTTCCTGTTTGCCAGGTGGCTTGCATGTGGTAGAAGCAGGGCGACGTCCTGTTGTGTTGTTAACGCTGGACTTGCAACGCACACCTCCGTGCTGCTTAATGAGGCCCGTACCAGCCCATAAAGGCTCTTTCCGAAGGTCAAGCAGCTATACCAAGACCCAGTGAAGAAGAAAACACCAAGTTAAGAACATGGGATCCATTTCTACAATCATGGGAGATCACGCTGCTCTACAAAAGTAGGCATGATTTATGATGGAACCCTTCTGCCAGCTAACAACAGACTCAAAGATACTCAAGGCAACTAGTCAGTTTTTGCGGGTCTTTTCATGGTCTCTGTCCGCTGCCCGCCTTCCAGTCTCAATAAACAATTCAATCAATATCGTCAGCTCTCTTGTTGCAGGTGTCCGCGCTGTGCCACTTGGTGCCAATCTTGCCACCTCCTTCTCTGGCCAAGGCTTTCCATGCAGCAGTGTGCTTCTGATCCAGCTCCAAACATTTGCGATAGCATGCCTTTTTGTTATAGCTAGAGCCGTTAATCCGGCCACCACCTTCAGTACCAAAAGCATACCAGGCATGGGCGTGATCCTCATTCTCAAGGCATCTGCGGTAGCACCTCTTGCTATCATAGAAGCCACCTTGGACGAAGCCACCGCCTTCCAGTCCAAGGTTGTACCAAGCACCGGCATGGTCTTCATCAGCTTCAAGAGCTCTCTGAAAGCAATCCTTCTTATTGTAGTGTTCTTCCTTCACAAAACCACCGCCCTGATCTCCAAGGCCAGTCCAAGCATCAGCATGCTGGTCATCCAGCTCAAGGGCCCGTAGGTAGCAATAGATCTGATTGCGAACGTGCCCCTGAATCTCACCTCCACCTTCAGCACCTAGTTTGTACCAAGACTCCGCATCCTTTTCATCAATCTCCAGACACCTTTGAAAGCACATCTTCTTCGTATAGTCAGCACCCTTCACCTTGCCACCATCAGCCTCCCCCAAATTGTACCAAGCAGCAGAACATCCTTGATCGATCTCGAGGGCTTTCTGGTAGCAATCCTTTGCGCTATAGATTTTGCCCTTCACTGTACCACCCTCCTCGTTTCCGAGGGCGTTCCACACATCGGCTCGCTCCGAACAGAGCTCCAGGGATTTTCGGTAACACCTCTTCGCATCATGCGACGAGCCCTTGACTTTGCCGCCGCCCTGAAGACCAAAGCTGTGCCACACAGTGGCCCGCTTCTCATCGAGTTCCAGGGAATTCTTGTAGCACTTCTTCGGGTCACAGGAAACACCCTTGACCTTGCCACCACCCTCATCTCCCAGGTTACTCCAAGCAACTGCATGGGCTCCATCAGCTTCCAACGCCTGCTGATAGCATTCGGTCGCAGTGTAGGGAAGACCCTTGAAGGTTCCACCACCCAAAGCACCCAGGGCATTCCAGGCATCGGCCTTCTTCTCCTCGCTTTCCAGGCATTCTTCAAAGCACTCCTGGATCCAAACGCCACCGGTGTGCACCCACCCGACCTACAGCCACCTACAAGGGTGATGAGAGGACAGTGGGTTTTGGAGTGAAAAAGAACAGTGACTCAAAATGCTTTTGGAATGCCATGATTGCGGTTGCTTCTTTTTCAATCATCTCTTTTTTCAACCGATCTTTTTGATGTCTCAAATAAGTCTCAGCCGTCAAGCCAGTTCATGGCCAAAGAGGATCACAGAAGTGATCAAATATCGAACATCGAACACTGTAACACAAACAAAGCAGGTGGAGGTGCTTGTTGCAAGTGGGGAGGGGGAAGAAACGAACACACAAAAACATGTCTGCTGAATCGGCTAATAGGCTTGGCTCAAAAAGCAACCGCATAAGAGTCAGAATTTGCTACACTCATGCTACACCCAAACAAACTCTACAAACTCTACTGCAGGTGGCCTCCTGCTTCAACCACCTCATTACGAGGTCAAGTCTCAGGACGATTTCTGGGGTTCAGCTCAAGCACTCTCCTCCAACAACCCCTCCAAACCCCCGGCCAATCCCGGAACCCTCAACAACGACGCCACACCGCCCATGTCTCACCGAACAAGATCCTTCACCTCGAAGCGACGGCGGTCCTGGGCGGTGTAGGAGCGGCCGCCCACGTCGCCACCACCGTTCTGTCCCAAGGCCCACCAATCGACCTGCTGGGCCGGAAAAAGACACGCCACGCCAACGGCTGACGATCATCGCAGCAAAAAGACGTCACAAAAAGAAGGCGCCTGACGAACGGGCGAACACATCGGAAAGAACCACACGAATGACTTTCGAGCGCCGGGCCTCGAGGGATCCCATTCGGATGTCTGAAGGAAGGGAGTTGGGTCGAGACCCGGAGAGGATTGGACATGTTCGCCCGGTGTGGGTTTGATTTTGCTGCGCTGCCATGGGATGGTTGGAGAAAAAGGGCCGCCTTTTTAGGGCCAGTACCTACAACGGTTCCAGTCATGATCAGATTTCCAGGGTGCAACATGGCACCAAAAAAACGAAAAAAAACATCGTGCCCAAAGACAAGACGCGCCCTTAAGAAAACACACCCAATGGCCCAAAACCCCTCTCATGATCGCATTGAGTTCCTCCACGCCTCCATTTTGGGCTTCTTCGGCGCTGGTGCGACGGAGCTGAGGTCGTCGGCCTGGTTCCGCTGAAACCAAACGGGACACGACATCACCAGCAGCACTTGCCCGCCAAAAAAATGGTGCAGGAAGCTCCGAAGTTCCTACTTGGATAACTTCAAAGAAGCCTAGACAGTGAGGACAAATCAGCAGATTTCAACTGCTCAACGTAGGTGGGTTTCGAACCCCGGCTAAACAGTTTTTCGCAGTGCCAGTCCATGTTCTGGGACTGGTAACCCCTCGAGGCGCCACATGGAAAATGGGTGCGATGCCTTCTCCTGTGGAGCCTTCTGGTCATTCTCCTTCTCCGGTTTCTTCGGCTTGCCTCACAGCATCCCGAAACGTAGAAGTTTCGCATGGCGTTAGTCTAGGCACTTTAATTAAGCTTTAATTTCTCGGTGTAGGCGAAGCCAATGGCTTCTACATGTTTCTACACATGCAAGGTAGTCAACGACTGCAAATGTGGCCACAACCTCCTCCACGTGGTTTCTTGGGATGCTTCTTCACCTGAAGATGGACCAATCAATGGCACTGGCTGGATCGGATTGCCAAGGCTTATTCTAAAGCATTCTGGTCGGAATGTGGACATGGAACAATACTTCTCAGGCTTCATTCCTCTGCTTGGGTCCCAAGGGCAGTTTCTTTTCATATGCCTCGGACGCAATCAACGAAAGGTGTAAAGCAAACATCCTCACCCTGAATCATCATATGCTTCTGACATCTTCATTATTTGTTATTGTTTTGCATTTTGCATCACCCCTGCCAACAATTCTGGAACAGCGCCTCCGAGAAAAGCAACAGGCCCACTTCCGACTATTCCCTGCAACATGTCCCACTATACTAAGAAGCTTCAAAGACATACGAAAAAGCTTTCTTGTTACTGCAGGTGAAACGATTCCCAAGGAAGCTTCTAGCTACTAGAAAGCCCCTCAGGATTTGTGGCCATCTTCTCAACGGCTCCAAGAGCCAACCACCCGCCTAGTATCAAGAAGCTACTAGGAGCAAAGGCATCGCTACTAGTAACAAGAAGCTACTAGGGGCTCCTGGCCCTACTACTAGGAGCAAGGACGCTACGAATGGAGCAAACGGCATCGCAGTCAGCGTCCACACGGCCCACCTCCACTTCACGGAGCTGCTGAGAAGTCAAATGCTCATAATCCCCGTCGTCGTACCTGGCGAGGTGAGGTGCTTCCTTGGTGTCCGGTTCAAGTCGATAGAGTGAGAGATGTGAGAGGTCGAATGCAATGGTAATAAACATATGGGTTTGTGATATCAAAAGCATCCTAAAACATGGGCGCTTCATCCTGTTTGTTGACCCGTGTGCCACCAAGCAGGTCGCCGCTTCCTTCTGCGGAAAACCATAACAGGTAGAGCCGAGATTTGGGGTGTTATATTCGAGTTAAGGCTTCGTGACGGTGTTACCTCTGAAAGATGCGGTCAATCTGGCGGACTGTCCAGTTCATCCGGCGCGGCACTTGATGAAATATAGACGTTCTTGAGAGACTTGGCCCACCTGCACATGGAGGAGCGATCCGTCTGTGGGCCATTTGGACCAAACATCGGCATGATGGAGGGGCAACCACAGTGAGCAACAGTTAATAACACATCAATATATGACGTACAGTATTATATGACCTCCATTGGATCATCTTCCTATCTTCCCTGATAGGGTCTCTTGACCTGTCAATCTTCCGAGGTGTGTTGGTCCTCGAAGAAACGCCTTTTTCGATGCCATTCCCATTCAAGTCTGCAGTCCGTGTACGACGTTAGCTGCCTTTCTCCAAACATCTCTCCAAGGTAAGCAGTGAGACTCTAAACCCATTCCCAGGCAGGGACAAAACTGCAAACATGCTTATACCATTGACGATCTGGTGGATCGTGCTACACACCTGGGCCGGACCTGCATACACAAATATGGTGAGCCAACATCGTGTTTACGACCGGTTGAACCGGTGGACCCGATGTACCCAGCTCCACCCACCAGTTGTCCCAGCGGCCACGAGTAGCGGCCTCAATGTCTTGGACCACTCCGTGGCACATCTGGCGAGAACAGCAGCAGAACCAGTCGGCGTCCCCCAAAAAGAGATCCCCAAAGAAAGGAGACTGGAACAATTGGGGGGGGTGCTGGGAGCTAATCCCCCCAGCTGTATCGGTCTGGAAGGATCGTGCCATTGGTTTGGGAGAAGATCGGTCCAGTGTTTCCTACCTCATTGTAAGAATATGTGTGGCTTTCAACGGGCCCTTTGTTCAACTCCCTGAGTTTTGTTCTTCCCCCACCAGCTCTAATAGTTCTATAGCTAGTGTGCAGGGACTTTTTTTGGCCTTCCAAGCGAAGAATTGGATCTTCCCAAGGACATCTGACATCACAAAAACATGCAATTCTCCGCAACATCGGAGCCTCAACCCATCCAAGCACCATCAGCCCTCCCCATGCCTTGCCGTTCACCTTCTTCGCAATGCGCGCGTTCCGGAACTCGTCTTTCATCTGGGCCAAATGCGCTGATTGGACCCCCCAAAGAAAGACAAAACCACTCCTGAGATCTATAACCCCTGCCACCCAATCCATCAAAGGCTCTTGGCAAACCAATCACCAAGCAAGTACAGTGGTTTCAGAGTAGATGGCCATGGCACAAACAGCAAGATGTCTTTAGATGGGGTCCATATAGACGACCTTTTAGATTGTGCCATCTCTCAACCCACCAGATTCTTGCTGAGGTCAACAGGAGCCAACAGCATCGGAGCCTTCCGTGCCTTCCACACCTCCACAGGGATCCCAGCGGCACCCACGAGGGTAAAGCATGCCCGGCACTAGCGAAACGCCTCGCCTTCTCTTCTTCGGGCAGGCTGACGAGAGCTTCGTCCTCCTGCACTGCTTTCTTCGAACATCCGCCAAAGTGGAGTTGAATGATCGGGTCCAACTCAGGAATGTGCTGGGAGCAAGGACGCTACTATGGGCTCCTGGCCATACTACTAGGAACAAGTAGCTACTAGTAACAAGAAGCTACTAGGGGCGTTCTAGTAGGCATTCTGACTCTCATCTCTTGAGTGCATACTTTCCATGCTGATGTACCAAAGTTGCTTCCAGCGACGATTTGAACAACTGCACATCGCGGCTGCCCATTCGATCCCAACCTATCACAGACCATCATAGGCCAAAAGTTCATGGTGGTCAGTCTTAGTTTTGTTCGAAAGCAGGATCACTCAAGCCCTACCAAGCAACTCTCAGAAGCCTTCACGACCTGCCCCTCTGATGCTTGTGGGCAAAAAAAGGCCCAGTCCTCCGCTGAGCGCCAGTCCTCTGGTTCCGGCTTCGGCGCTGGTGGCACCTGGAAATCGTGGCGCTCACTCTTCCCCAACGAAGCCTAGATCTTTTTCCCCCAAACATGATAAAACGATGATCGTATAAAGGTCGACTTCGCCAGAAGTGAGACTTCTCAAGATCAGATCGACCATCCGGTGGGCATTGGCATCAAATGCCTCGTCTGGCTTCGGCGCCGGCGGGACCTGACGCTGCTTCCGTGCTCGGCATGCTCGACAACGCAAGACTTGAAACAATTGCGATTTTCTGGAATCCATACGTTGGAACAGAAAAACACAGTTGTGAAATGACTCAAACACTACACAATTGAGTACAATCACTGTTGCAACCAATGAATTCCTGCAAGTCTGTTTGTGATCCGAAGACTGGTGTTCAGGGCGCACGGGTGCCCCCGCTTGCCCATGAAAAACCGTTTGGAGCCATGATAGGATTGGATTTGTAAAACCGAAAGGCTCATCTATCAATGATTTTGGCTTTAGGAAACATGTACAGGACATCCACCCTCGAGGAGGCATTTGGACAAACACCAAGCTTTGTTGTTCAGGAAAGACCTGCCTCCGCAGGTACTTTCGGCGGTGGAGGAGGAACCTAGAAGGAGGCGTCATTCGCAAGCTGTCACCGCTGAGATACTGACACTGCCCACAATGGATTAGACATTGAATGTGCGAAAAAACAAACACTTGTCCAGCCAAATCCAGCCAACCTGCACTTGTATTTTTGTAACCTGCCCCTCTCCTCAATATCCGCTGCTGAGGCAAACACATTTCAATAACATATGGTACGGAGATGATTCACAACAACCTTTGAACTCCGGCATAACAATTTCAATAGTCACTATGCGACTATGCGCATTGAAGTGTTCGGTGGAGGCGCCGGGGCTCCGCCAAAACAGCCAGGTTCGATATTCCAAACTCCTTACCATGGTAATTCATGGCAGCGAACTGATTCTGCGGACAGTGCGATGTCAGATTCTCTCACTAGCAGCTAGTTGCAGCTAGTTGGGATCCAAACCTCGGCCCTAAAACGATGGTTGTCCTTTCTGGTCATTTTCAGAGGTAATACAGGGTCCCACGGTGTTGATTTTGTTGTGACTCCCTGAAAGCCCGTTGAAGACCGTGAACAGTCCATTGGACACTGGACACGTTCGCGCCCCGTGCCTCTGCAGGTGCTCTTGGCACTGGGACCTGTCTCCGTTCTGTCTTGAAGTCTTGAGCCGTCGTGTTCACACTGAACGATCAGAACGTCAGAAGGCACCGATCGCTACTAGAAACATTGCTCGTTCGGTTGCGATGCGCTTGGTTCCTGCTATAGCTCCTTGTTGCTAGCTACTGTAGTAGGGTTGGCCAGGAGCTACTAGTAGCGTCCTTGTTACTAGTCATGCGGAAGATGTTTCTTGGACACCAAAAGGGATTGGTTGCCCTCTTTGAGGACTTGAATGCTGGAAGTTGCGCTGCTCTCAGGCTATATCTACAGCAAGTGGAGTTGCATCCGGTCCAAGTCCAGCATACTGTGAATTGTCACAAATTATGGGATATGTTAGTTTCTGACTGTGTCCCTCTCTCTCTCTCTGAAAATCTCCAGTGGCTCTGAGAATCGCTACCGGCCTCCACATCCGGCAAAGCCTGGTGACGTGGCAAAGCCTGTGAAGTCCATGTGTTCTTTCATGCATGTGGATGGAGGCACCGATGGGAACCTTCGAACAGTCTACAGTCTGCAAACACAAAGGCTCTCGCTCAAAGCACATAGGCCGTCACTGAAGGCTTGTCAACGGAATTTCCAGGACCCACCAAAGCAACTCCCTCAACTGCCAATCCACTCTGTAGCTCAATGCTTCTTGAATGCCGCCCCAAAAAAAACAGGATCATCCACCCTGTCTTCTCTCGTGCCGCGAGCAAAACTCGCGCGCGGCGTCTTCCAGGCACCTCGTAGAAATCCATCAGCGGGTCATCCTCTTCCAGTTGCTCACATTGGACTTCCGTGAGCCCATGGCCACAATCGAGAATGGACTTCACCTGGCGAGTGTCTTTTTTCTCTACCCAGTGATGGGCTGCATTTTCGAGAAGCGTCTGTCTTCTGTTGTGAGGAGTCTGGGGGCTCCCTTGTGGGGAAACAGCAAACATGAACACCTCGACAGCTTGCAGGTGCCTTAAACTCCATATTTGGTGGCAGCAGGATCTCATACTCGCCGGGGAAGAGCGAGAACTCCTTGATGCTCACCGCATGGAAATTGGGACGCAAGTGCAACAGCCACTTGGTCCGAGGGCCCTCCGTTCCGAGGAATGTGTGCAAAGACTCGACGTGAGTTGTGGTGCTGCTAAACGCAGCCCACAAAAAGCGAGCGTTTTTGGTGCACTGCTTTCCTTAGCAGTCAAGCAAGTCTGGCTGGGCTTCCCATCTTCGATCCATCTTCATAACAGCTATCTCTTCATGTAACAAACGTCAACACTTAGATCTGGAGGATGTTCAATTGCCTGAGTCTTCAGAAGAATCTCCAAACATATACAAACATGCATATGCTGGTCAACGGCGGATTCGGACACTAGAATCGCAAGTTTCTGAACCGTCTTCTGTTCTGCATCTCCTTGTATACCTTCAGCGCCAAAAAGCGTTGCTTTGAGCAGCCGAGTTTCCCAAGAGACTTTTGTCGATCTTCACGGCCCGCTGCACCGTCCTCTCTGCCACACGCGGGAGCTTGCGCATGGCCGTCAGCAGTAGCCAAATGGCATCTCTCCATGGCCTAACCTGTCCAGAAAGAGCAAATATGTCTTTGAAGTTACTAGGAGCAAGGACGCTACTAGTAGGTCTTTGAAGCTACTAGTATGTCTTTGATTGCTACTAATAACAAGAAGCTTTTAGCATGCTTTTGGCATCGTTACATGAGGGACCACAAAGTTTTTCAGACTTTGACATACAATTTTTTTCATCTGTCCCTGGTCCGTTTGAAACACACCACTCAAGTCCGGAGCAAAATTAAAACTTCTGGCTATTCTGATCACGTGCTTCTCTGCACATTGCCTTTTTGGTTCATATGCATCATTGCAACCTCCTTGTCTGCACTACCCTGCCTAGAGGAGTGGGAAGCAAACCAAAATAATGACAAAAGAATGATAGGGAGCCCAACAAATCACACACATTGGCATAGAAGGTTCCCGTGGGAGATGAACATGAAATCAAAAATCAAGCACATGTAATCCAACCAATGAAGAACAATGTGGAGAGAGAGAGAGGGAGAGAGAGCGCGAGCGAGGGAGGGAAAACAGTATGTAAAAATTAAGCTTGTGAACACTGCCAAACAGCCAAACAAAGCCCCAATTACTTGGTGTGTTTTGGTGAACGCGCGCGCGCGCGCAAAACAGAAGAACGCGGCCACTGTAGCTGGCTTGAAAACATGTAATGTCCAGCCAATGGCCCTCACGGAAAGGAAGCCTGCATGGCGAGGACTTTCCAGTTGCAATTCTATCTACTGCACACTAAGCATACCAAAAGATTGCCGAGGTCAATCGCTTTGGTGTTTGGGTTTGCTGGTTTGCTTTCAGGGTAAGGCGCATCACGCCCCTGATGCAGGCACCGCAAAACAGCGCTGTCAAAAGAACAGCTGCAGCAACGCGCAACAAGCAACCATTGAGGGGGAGGGAGAGAGAGAGAGAGGTTGTTGCGGGCGTCGAGGATGCAAAAAGAGAACCTGCTGCGGAGTGTCAATCGTTCTTAACACATGAGGCTCCAGGATTCCAGGATCAAGCTTTACTGTTTGTACGACCCTGCTCAGCAGTTGCCATTTTTATAGCGGATTCTAGGGCACCTCTGGCTACCCACTCCTAGCAGGATTCCTGGATCCACATTTATATACACTCCCTGGAACTAACATGGAAGTGGATGGCCCCTTCAAAAGACCATTTTCCACTACAAATAGGTGGTGAACTCCACGTAACCATGTTAGTCTTGGGGAGTGTAATAGCATGTTCAATCCTATCTCATCTGTCTTACAACTTTCCCAAAATAAAGAACAGCCCTGCGCGTGTCGTGCCGTTTCGCTGCGCCTCGGCGCGGTTTTGCGCGCGCAGCGCTTTGTTCATGCCGTGGTAGATGGACTCCTCGGGTGGGTACATCTCAATACCTCGGGATTTGCAGGGAGGCCCAAGTCAGTGCAAAAGGGCCCGCCGGGATCAACGACACGGGAGGGCGTTCGAAGGGCCAAGCTACCTGCGGATCAATCCACATCTTCGCAAATCTTACGCACAACTAGATGAACTTAAACGAAGCTGGGTGATGAGGAGTGATCAACAGGGCAAATAATCATGAAGCAATCTCATTTTCTTTTGGTCCAAAAGGCAGCTAGTAGGCTACCTGAACCTACCTTCCCCCCTGTACACGGTCTTCTTCATGCAGTTTTGCAGAGGATTTGATTGGTGCTTCACATTGCTTCACAGCCTTTTGCAAGCTCTGCACCTGACGCCCTTTTGCAACAAAATGTGCAACAAAATCACATCAAGACCATGAAGCAATCTCAGTAGGGACAACTCAATATCAACCCAATATCAACACCTGCTGATGCCCAAGATGCTGTAGAGAGTCAGCATGGCCCTCTCATCTTCGGAGAGTTGTGGGAAGTCACCCTCGAGTTCTTCAGCCCTCTTCCTGGCACGGCAACGGGGTTCGCTTTGGAGGTTCCCTGAAGCGAAGAGAGCTCAAATGGCTGGGGGATAACCTCTAAACTCTAAACAGAAGTCAAAATCACTTGTCTAAAAAAAAGGCCTTGGGCCTATTGACATGAACAAAACTCGAAGTCTTTAACATGGTCTGAATGGATTTCAACAAAGCCATGAGCCATGGTGAAATATAAAATATGATTGAAGACTTGCTAGAGGAATAAAGGAACCCGGTAATTCTCCACACAAAGCCCTTATCATCTTCTCTTCCATTTGTTGATTGCTTCACTTGGCACTTGTCTTCTCTTCCGCGGGATCTTGGCCAAAGATGGATCCAACAGCGAACCCCGAACAGTGATGATTGGACCAATGAACTCACTGCCGCTCATCCATCCCGAAACCGCGACAGCCGAACGAACGAAAAAAAAACGCACACACCGATGGCGCCGTCTCGTTTGATGTCGCTTCGGCATCGGATCCGCCTGGCTCTCTGCACCGAGGTGTCCAAATCCAAGGAGACTAAGTGTCGGATGGATTCGACGACCTCGTTCAGAGGCTTCCTGAGGCGGGAAGTGGTGTTCAGCACAGCTTCAGAAAGGAACACATGGCGGTTTAATAAGAAGGCGTCAAATGGGTTCTGATGCGCTTGTAGTGTTGGTTCAATGCATGTCTCCACACACAAGCAAACTTAACTCAACTTCTCATGGATTCCAAGTACCCCAAAATTCCCCCCGGGAGAAAATCACAACTGGCCTTGTATGAGCTAACCCTTTTTTCAGACCATTTGGGCAATCATCGGCAGGCAAAAACGCCAGTCCATTGAGATAGCCGCAAATAGCCAAAGAGTCCTTCCCACGCAGTCACAAAAATGGACAAACAAGCATCTTTTCCAGCCCTATGATTTAGTCCTTACAGAGTTCCTCTGAAAAAAGGGGCCTGTTGTCTGGCAATGTCTCCGACCCAAGCTTCGGCTCAAGCCCGCGGAAGAGACCCGCCAGCGGATTGCGCAGCCGCCCATCCTGCTCGCAGGTGTTGTCTTTTCCGTTCCAAAACGTGTTCCTCACAACATGACCCGCCGTTCTTTACAATTTGTGGTGATGTCTGATCTTGCACTTAGTGCAACCATCAAGGAGGATGAGGATGCTCAAAACGGTTGTATCATCCGGTCGTCGGTCGTACTAGCTTCTTGTTACTACTAGTAAGGCACTTGTTCCTAGTAGCAAAGGAATCTACTAGGATCTTCCGACGTCTCGGTGAAATTCGCCTCAAGACGTGCACTTTGGAGGTGTAGAGCATCGGCCGATCGCGTGGTGACTTGGCAAAGCAAGAGACGCTACCGCGACTTGCTGCGCCTACGATGTAAGTGGGAAGGGTGGCCAATGATCCACCCTTCCAAACAGAACCAATTCCATGGGAAATAGAATTTTGGGTTCACAAAAACCTTGACATATGCAATTCACTCCAAAGTCTTTCAAAACCCAACCCTTCTCTTGAAGTTCTCCAAATGGGTCTCAAGTGAATTGGCCCTGCATCTTTAATGGATCCATTTAGTTTCATGGGGCATGTCGGCATTGCCCTCAACAAATCCAAGCGCAACATGGGTTTGCGCCCAACCAGTCGTTTACGAATGACATCTATTTCTGACTGGCCCCCATTTCGGAAAGCTTCGCAAATTCCCGCACCAGACCTCTTTCCAATCATTCTCTCTGACCATCTCTGACCTCGCCAAAACCCAACACAGAAACCGGCTCTGACCACCCCCAATTGTTGGAAACTCATCTTCCGAACCAGTAGCTGCTGCCAGGATGTATAAAAAGGATTAGAAACCATCGACCAAACCGGACCAACATACGTTTGCGTGAATTCCAGACAATTCCATGGTCTTCTGTCCTTTCCTTCTCATGTCAAGCCATACAAATGCCATAAATCTGCCATAGCTCGCTCTCAGAAGCCGCTTCTACCACATCTCTCCCGCATCTCCGCCGCGCCCGTCCCGTCGGTCCCCTCCTCGTCGCCCGCGGCGGCGATCCGCGACAGCGAGGCTGCCAGAGCCATGGCAAGGGGTGAAGAGCTGGGCGGAACTGGTCGAAGCTTTCTTTAAGGGGAACAACGTTCGGGGCTCCTGGCCGTACTACTAGGAACAAGGACGCTACTAGGAACAAGAGGGTGGATTACTTTCTTTAAGGGGAGGTGGTGGGGGAAGGGGGAACGCATGAGAATTCGAGCGATTGAACTTCCTAGAGGTGTAGCTTTATCGGCCTGTTGTGCCCAAGGCCCCACAACCTTTGCTCTCGTTTTGTGTGAAGTTCTCCGCTCTTCTAAAACTGCGCCCGACCGCCGAAAACGCCATGTGCGACAAGGCAGCGAATGCAAGACGTGGGGATGGTTGAGATTGGCCGAAATTGGTTGAGGGGTGAAGAGGGCATGATTGGACTAGTTGCAAGTCCAGTAGGTTTTGGATGGTTTTGGCATTCCTCTTTTGAACATGGCCGCATCAGCATGGAGAAAGTCGGCTAGTCAATTGTACCTTCCCTCGCCGCGCAGGTGCAAACTTGGCTTCATGAGGAGCATATTATGTGGACATGACCCTCAGTTTTCTCAGCTGCAACTCAGGCTGCGATGTGTCTTGAGCCCGGAGCATCACACAGTTGACACACTTTTGAGCTACAGCTGAAGATGATGGATGTCCATACATTGTAGTGATGTACATCCACTGGCAAACTTCGCGATGTCTCTTTGGTTTACACCCAGGGCTGGCACAAATGTCAACAAACATGGAGTATGGTCGAGTTCTCAGCACCAGAAGAATCAAAATTCGGCTCTGGTCAACCTTGGTCAATTCGTGGTCCACCATGGCATCCGGTTGCATCAGGAATAATATTCCCCCTTCGAATGCTCACCAATTGAGCGGTGGCGAAAACCTGTTGGAAACGGCGCCATGTATTTCTATGGCCATGACAAAGCCCTTCGACATGGAGGTTTTCGATGCTGCTCGGAGCAAGGATGCTATTAGGGGCTCCTGGCTTTACTACGAACGGAGCAATCGGAGCGATGGCGACTCGAACCGTTCGCGATCGGACGCTGCTCACGGTGCCGACGGATCTCCGGCGTCCACCGGCGTCCGACGTCCAAACGTTGAGGTCCCGGACGGCAGGGTCCGGCTGCGCGGTGGGGGCCGCTCCTGCCGATGGGCAGTGAAGGTGTGAAGGAATGCGATGGGTCAATCTAGCCTAGAACTTGGGTATATCCCATTCTCAGTGATGATGTTGGTCAGGTTGCAGGCCTTTCTCCTCAATAGTGATCATCCTTTACCGACCGCTAAAAACATTAAACCTGAACCCTCACTTTTTAGCGTTCATCTTTGGTTGAAACAGACTAGAAACTCTTGAGTCGAAGATCTACCATTCATGGTAGTATTACCCCCAAACATCCCCAAACATGTTGAATGCTTGCCCCCCTCGACGCCAAATGCCATCCTCAAAATGTCCCTGCTTTGGTCCCTTCCACAGGTCTCGTGCTGAGGCCGGCACGCAGAGCGGAATGTGGAGCTTTCGGACTGGTGGTTCTGGGCCTGACCAAGTTTAGAAGCTTTCGATTTCACGGATGCAAAACGTCATAACTTTTGAAGTCTTATGACTCATACACCAACAACACAACAACTGCTGGAATTGCTAGGACCTATCTTTTGTCACAACAAAGCATCAGTTGAGATCACCATCTTCATGACCCCAAAACCAGTTCGCAGATTCCCGCAACTGTGGATGTTCATCGAACTCTTCACAACTGTTCGTAAAGGTGCTCCACTCGCACCACTCGCATCGACCACGTCGGCGGTTGGATAGGAGGCACGTCGGCTCGAGCCGTGAAAACCGATCGGGCTTCCCCGAGTGGCGGAGATGTCCTAAGTTCTGGAAACATTCATCCCTAGGTTTACAGGAACAAAATGGACATGAAATTGCTGAGGACCATGATAAGTCCATGGTTCCAGAGATGTTCATGCTTGTCCATTGTTTACAAATTGTTGACATGAAATTGCTGAGGACCATGATAGGTCCATGATACGAACTGTTTAGATAGGGAGCTGCTATGGAGCTGACTGCCACAGCGTTTAGGCTACCTATACTAGCTACCTTCAACAAAGTCCAAGTGAATTTCTACACTCTAAAGGAAACCCATTCAAGGTCCTGGTGCCAGTACGTGTTTGGAGACCAAAACTTTCATCCAATTGAGTTCAACAACCGGTTCCTCAAAGCTTCCCCACTCCCGGAACCTTGGCCTCACCGCAGTCACGCTCATGATGCACCGCGGTCACGCCCAGTCGCAAGTGTCTACAATCTCTAGAAAGAACGGGGTTTTCTCTTGACATGATCACTACAGGTATCAAATGCCTTGATCCAAAAGGTAACAAACAAAGCTTGTGTTCCAGCACGAGTCAAGCATCAAGCAAGGCGGACACAAGAAATCCAAGAAAGCCTTCAAACTGTCAGTTGCCAAACAATGGATTGGCCTGAATCCTTTCAATGTCCTTTCGTCACTTAAGCAATGTGTCTCCTGCAGCTTGCCATTGATCAAATCAAGTAAAACCGGAGCCCATCCAATCTCCCCCGGCCGCAGCCATCTCCTGAAGCAACCCGCGGCCTGTCCTGTGGGATGGGAGAAGCTGGCTGTGTCCAAAGGATACCCATGTGGCTGTGGAACATGAACAAAATCAAGTTTCAAGTGAGATGAGATGCAAATGACTTCAGAACTGTTTGGTGCCAGTAGAAAGCAACATGAATCCTTGAAGGATATCTAAGGGAATGGAAGTAGCACAAGTTGTCCCCTCTTGTACTGTAGAGAGGGGACCCGCAAAACGAGGATTTCTTCTTTCTTAGCGTTGGGAAGCCTGGCTTCCTGGCCCGCTGTATGGTCTGTATGAGCAGCTCCATGGTGCAGCTCCACGCATCACAGGTTCAGCTGCTTCACCAAGCAGCCACATCAAAACCGAACTGGATCAAAACCGAACCACCTAACGACATGTCAGTAAAGAGTTGGTCTCCACACCAGTTTTGACGATACTTCGAGGATCTCCAGCTTCCTTCAACCCTTTCCACCCAGTCCTTCCATCTCAAAAACCAGGTCGATCTTCTTCTTCCATACTTTCCGAACTTCACAAACCTGAGAGAATCAACCAACAACCAAGTCAACCCAAAAAAGAACGAAACACACACCAAACCGCTTCCCAACCCCCGGACTCGCCGTCCCGGTCCGTCCCGAGCGTCCGGGCCCACGGGGATCCGGGGTCGTGGCCGCCTTGGCCTGGCGTGGATGGTGGAAGTGGGATTCGGAAGGTGTTTGTTTCGGATCTGAAGTGGTGATTCTGGAGTTTTTTTAGACATTAGAATATTTGATGGTTAATGGGGATGCAAATATGGTCCGTATTTCTTGCACGGACTTCTTGGTGATGTAGTGTAGTGGTTCCAGTGGCACAAAAGGGACCGGTCGAAAGTATCTTCAAACTCCTCTGCTGGGGAAGCCGAGCTTGGTGTGGCTCACACGCGCCGACGTCGCGGCTGAACCGCCGAAAACTAACCGCCTTCATCTCCGCCGCAGCCATCTCCGACTTCTTCCTAGGAGGAAGACGCCATGGGACGTCGCCAGTGCGAGGGGAGCTCAAATAGAGTTCAAAACCTGGGGGACTTTCATAGGATTTGCATATCTTAATTGAAACCTGGCTTCAAGTGTCTCCTGACTGTGCAGCAAGCTCTTACACCAGCTTTAGCATTGCCTCGTTTGCAAGGATGCAAGTGAGAACTCTTCAAATGATTCAGCCCCAAAAAATCCCGCAGCATCGTCTCGCCTATGTTGGGGCATCACACGCCTTCCTGGGGTCTTTTACAAGGACGGGACGCTACTAGGTTGGAGGCCATCGCTAGTAGGTTGGAGAGGCCTTGCTATTGGGAGCAAGGACGCTACTAGGAGCTCTTGGCCATACTACTATGGGGTCTACTATGGTAACAAGGTTCGCTACGAACGGGGCTCCTGGCATCGCGACTCGAACCGTTCGCGATCGGACGCGACGGGGCGGTTGGAGGCCATCGCGCCACGACCCACCCGGCGCGATCGGGACGTCTCTCTCGACGACCGCCGCGCGTCGGGCGCCAAGACACTCCCGCTGTCGGCGCTCGTGCTCGGCCATGCGCTCGGTGAAGCCCTGCCGAAGCCCGTGCTTGGCAGGTGGGTTTGGCCTAATCAAAAGCCAAAAAAAAAAGCAATGTAGAGTGTCATATAGGGATTTTTTCAGTTTAGATCTAAGAGGATCGAAGGATTGGTGGCATTTGATTGCTATTGCTTAGGTACAATATCGAAGTGCGGCCAGCTCTCCACAGCGGCTCTCCGGCCTTGGGCGGTTGCTTCCTGCCGGTTGCGGACAGCTCTTCGGTCGGATTGGCGCAGCATTCCCAAGAACTGAGCCTTCCCTACAGGTCGGTTGGATCTCAGTTGGGAGTGGGTCATAGTGTTTGTTTTCTGTAGGGCAACAACACTGGGAAACAGCTTCCATGTCCTTTCTGGCATACCTTTTTACGCATTGGAACCTAGAGTTCGATCTAGAAGAAGGTGACGCACATGTTGATCGTTCTCCCGCTGCAAAGCACGTCCAACAATCAAAAGAAACACCCTTTGCGACTAATACTAACGATTGTTTTTACAAATCGATGTAGCTGCAAAACATGTCCAACAACACCAACAGAAAAGTTCATCAGTACTACTCAAGCATTACACATCGATGTGGCTAAAAAAAACATGTCCCAAGACCCTTTCATGCGAACATATCCCTTTCATGATATAACCCATATGGAACATAACCCTTTCATTATAATTATATATGTTCCAAACGTCCGGGCGCCGCACATGGGCGCTCCGGGCCTCGGAGGTGTCAGCCGGTGGCAGCCGGTGATCCCGAAGAAACGGACGAAGATGGAGAGCTCTTTTGGTGAGTTAGTGGATCACAAAGGGCGAAGATGAGGTTCAACCAATTTATCCAAATGGCCAAGGTGCAAGCCTTTTGCTTGGAGATGGTTGAGATGAGGTTCTCAGATAAGAAGCATCATTTGTTTGCTAG